TCGGTTGAGGTGAATCTCACTGGTTGGTGCAAAACATGCTGACGTCGTCAATGTAACAAAAGCATACAGACCATTTAAAGCTGCGCAAAATGTATCCATTATCCACTCGATTGGGGCTGGCGCATTGCACTACCCAAATGGCATACCTCTGAACTGTTGGATTCATCCGGCGTTGCAAAGGTGGTATTCCCCAGTCGAGGTGCCAGTACCAAAGCGCATGTAGTCCAACCAAAAGTAAGCCACACCATCATGGCAGTTTGAAACATCGTCACTGAGAGGGAGTGGGACTACAACCTTTTTTTAACTGAAATCATAGAATCAATCTTGACCAACCGGCATTCACAATAAGCTATTCATTATGAATATTATTGCCAGAAGTGTTGTCAGTAATTATTCCAAGTTTCTTTCCCTGATATTCTATTATGCCCCACACATTATCGGCGTTACTAAGACTTGGCTACACGACAGAGTTATAATTCTGAATTAGCTCTCCCTGGCTACAACTTGGTTTGGAGATGCAGAAAAGTGGGTAGAGGTAGTGGCGTTGCCCTATTTTTCGTTTTCCTTTCTGTGTTTTCTTCATCACCGACTACAGGTTACTTATGGTGCAAGGTCCACATAGAAAAAAAACAATTACAGATTACAAGTACAGTGGGGATCAACGATAATTGAAGCATGATCGAGGGACGTTTATATGTCACTTCAAAATCAGCACAACGTTCAAAGATGGACGTGAATTATGCCGTACACAATTTTATGTCCATGATTATCATGTTTGGACGCGTCATTTTCTTTCGTCGTCCGTTCGCGTCTCGTGATACAAAGGTTGGTATACTGTGGAGCTAGCAAAACGGCAACGAGCACGCTGTGAGCGTAGCATGTCCTCCTGTTTTACACGACAAACATATGAAAATTATCATGTTTGGGTGGGTCATTTACTTTCCTCGTCCGTCACGTCATATCATACCAACTTTGGTATTAGTGGAGCGAACAAAATGCCCGCGAGCGCGCTACTAGCCTAGCTTGTACTCCTGTTTTGCGTGACACGCATGCCACGAATATTATGTTTGGACGTGTCACTCACCTTCGCCGTCTATTCGCGCAACGTGATACCGAATTCGGTATATGTGAAGCTGGCGAAACGGCTGCGAGCGTTTCAGAGCAAGGTGTGTTGTGATGTTCTTACACGACCCGCATGTCTTGTATATTATGTTTGCACTACATATATACTTTAGTCATCATTCACGTCCCGTATCAGCAAAGTGTGAAGCTAGCGAAACGGCAGCGAGCAGTTAATGAGCATTTCATATTCGAAATTTCTTACATGACAAGCTTGCCTTCATTATCATGTTTGCACCAGTCATATACCTTAATCATCCATCCGGTCACATATGGCCAAATTTGCTTTATGTTAAGCAAGCGAAACAGCCGCGAGCAATTCATGAGCATGATTTGTCGTAATGTTCTTACATCACACATGTGATAAATATATAATGTTCACACAAGTCATATATCCTTGCCATATGTTCACGTCTCGTAACACCAAATTTCGTAAATGTGAATCTAGCGTAACAGCCGTGAGCACTTCATCAGCATGGTATGTTGTCATGTGCTTACATGACACCCATACAAGGATTATCATGTTTGCACCACTCATACCTTAGTCATCCATTCACATCACGTTACACTAAATTTGGTATATCTTAAGCAATCAAAACGGCCGCTAACGCTTGAGGGGCATGGCATGTTGCCATGTTCTTACTTGACACACATGTCATGACTATCGTGTTCGCACCAGCTATATACCTTCGGGATCTATCCACGTCACGTAATACTAAAATGGGTATATCTGAAGCAAGCGAAACGGCCGTGGGCGCTTCATGAGCTTGGTAAGCTGTTATGTTCTTACATGACACGCATATCATGATTATCATGTATGCACCAGTATATACCTTCGCCATCCGTTCACGTCCCGTAATGCCGAATTTGGTATACCTAAAGCAAGCGAAATGGCCGTGAACACTTCATGAGCGCTGGCATGCAGTCATGTTCTTACAAGACACGCATATTATGAGTATCATTTTTGCACAGTCATATGCATTTGCCATCAATTCACGTCCCGTAATACTAAATTTAGTATGTGAGGAGCGAGCGGAATGCCCACAAGCGCATAATCAGCGTGGCGTGGAGTCATGATTTACGTGATATGCATGCCATGCTTTCCATGTTGGGGCCTGTCAGTTATGTTCGCCATGCAGTGATGTCATACTATACCAGTTTTGCAACACGTCATGAAATGCATGTTGCAAAATGCAGCAAGAGCAGCAATGAAATTGCAGCAAGAGCAGCAATGAAATTGCAGCAAGAGCAGCAAGACTTTGAAGAGTGAATCGTCGCATTCATGACATACCTTTCAAGATTTTATCGTTACGACTAGTTCATTACGCTCGTCATAACAGTAATGTTACGTCATACCAATTTTCGTTTTGATACCATTATCCAAATGGCCAGGGGAGCTGTACGTCGTAGGTGGCTAGTAGATAAGTAGACAGATGCGCTCAATGTCGCCAAGTTTCGGCAAGAAATGCTTCGCATTTAACATACCCCTGGTTATCATATTCGTTTACTGCCCACGTTGTCCTTATGTTGAAATTTTACAAATTTACAGATTTCTGCAGAGCAACGTTACTTCATCATCTAACATTACTTGCCTGAGTGATTTTTTAATCCTGCTCTAAACTGGTCTTCTATGACAGTCAGTCGACACGAAGTATATATCAGAAAAGAGCTACTTAACATTTCATTGACATTTTTGATTTCACCAAATTATTCAGAAATCATTTCTGATTGTCGCTGTCCTTGATCTAGTTTTCGTCAGTACATTTTTGGCCATGTGCGGTTTTCAATTTGATATCATTGATGGCATTTCGCTTAGTGCACGTTTCTTGGTATTAACCGCATTGCTGATCAAACAATTACAGAAGCCTTTTGTGACTCATTTGAACAATTTGAGCTGCAAAGCACCACCACTAATGTCAAATCACTATTTTTCTGAAAGGCCTTGTTATTTGGTCTAATAATTGTTTCATTTCACTAAAGATAAACAAGCGAACCCTAAAATACTCTGCATGACTAGGGATACCTTGAGTTTATCACGTCGTGGGGCCAAACTACGTCGATAAAAGTGCTCTGGTGACCCTAAAAAGCTTCAACAGTTTTTAGTCGCTAAAAAAACTATCTGCTCAAAGGAAGGCCACTAGAGGACATTAGTACAAAGTGATGTTCTTATGCTGATAAAACGAAACCTCCGCAAATTCTGGAAGCCTATCCTGCTCTTTGGTTCAAAATTGCACGCGATGACAAATAGCAATGTTGCAGTTTCCGATTTGGAGATAATCGCTTCAGCCTTCGACACCTACTGTCACTCAGGCATTAATAATGACAACTCGGACATTTCTGCTTTTCCTTCAGAATCTCACCCTGGAAATGACGATGGGTCAATGTCGCTCGAAGGCGTACTCAATCTCATTTTGAACTTACACACCAAGAAAGCATGCGGTCCCGACTGCGCCCCGACAGCTTTCCTTGTTAGAAACGCTCTTTGGCGTAGCAGATACGTGACAGTTATTTTAAGGAAATCTCTCTTGTCAGCGGCACTTCCTTCGTCATAGAAACGTGCTTCCATTCTCCCTTTAATAAAATCAGGTAATTTTCAGTTCAGAAAGGACACATCTCTTCAACAGTAAATTCTTGCGGAATGCCAGAGCATGTTGTCTTTTAACACATCCCTGGAATTCCTAGAAACGAACGAAGTTTTGAGCACTTCTCAGCATGGTTTAGGCGTGGTGTTAGCACTATTACTCCACTGACAAAATTTGTTTATATCACAAGAAGTTCTTCAGACGTATTTGATCAGGTTTATACTACAATAATTGATTTTTCGAAGACCTTCGATACTGTAACACACCCAAAAGTAGTGCACTTATAGTTTGTAAAGAATGCATGACTCGTTGGCTGGATATCTGACTTTCTCTTGAAGCGTTCACAATACGTGTGCTTCAACTTGACTAACTCGCCTTCGATGGTGGTTACATCCGGAGTTTCAAGGGTTTTCTGCCATGACCCCTCTTATTTCTGTTTTATGTTACAGTTTTACACTTGCGCACTTCTGTGAAAATAAGCCTTTTCGCAAATGACTACGTATTGTATCACGCTGCTAGGTCTCCATTGAATCATGCCATTCCTAACAATTCATGTTCTCATTTCCGTAGCTGGACCAAATCTTGGCAATTGAATAATAGCTCCTCGAAGGCAGTCAATATTGTATGTCGCAGACGCTCATGCCCTTTGACATTTCATTACGGTTTCAACTAAGTCCATTGTGCAAAGTGTCAGGATTTAGGTACCTTGGCGTCTTCATAACACATAATTTTTCATGGTCCAATCATATCCATTTCGCATGCGACAAAGCCCTTAGGAGTTTATGTTATTTACATCGCATGCTCTTTCTTGCTCTTCATGAAACTGAACTGCTTACCAACAAAACACTTTTTCAACCCATTCGAGAATATGGTAGCGGGGTATAAAACCCCCTAAAAGTATGGCACCAAGAAACTACAAGCCGTTCAACAAAGAGTTGTGCACTTTGTGTGTGTAATAGACCTCAAGATCCTCCGGCTACGTGGCTGTAGTACGAAAACGAGAGGCGGCACGTCTAAAACGAACGCTATTTACTGGAACAATAAATAGAAAAAAAGATTGATGGCTTCGTGCCCTCGAGCGAAGCTCGTGAGGAGCACTTGCGATGGTGATGAACGTTGTCTGCTTCATTCGTGAAGACAAAGTTACAACATCTTCCCGAGCCCAACAAATGATATCACTCTGCTTCTATTGGGTATAGCATTTGAACAGGGCCGTTGACCTTCTGCTGCCCGGCCACTGGAGGGAACAGAAGCGAGCTTTCCCATCGCATCCATTAGGCAAGTATCTTATTCTTGCCATCAACAAAACTTGCCGAGGTGTTCTTTGTTTCGCATAAGAACTAAGTTTTCTTCCTTCACCAATTCAGTTCGTTCTACTTTGTTGATGGCGAAGTTTCTCAGTTCCTCCAGATATTCCTTCTGCCAATGTTTCCAGAAGGTTAGCGAGTCTTTTTCTCGCTTTGGAACGAGGCGGTTCAGGTCGTGTTCGCTTTTACAATCCTGTGGCATCTTCTCTAGAGCGTTCCAGTCATCTCCTTGCTCCTGCAGTGGTTCCAAGTCGCGCACACAGGACTGCAGGGACTGGTTGAGCGATTCGAGCTCAGCAATGTGAGATTTGACACCGCCCAGGCGAGTCTTGTAGCTGGGCAGCTCATCGCATGTGACAGAAAAGTCTGACGAGCGTCGGTCCAGCAGTTCCTGGAGCTCACGCATCTTGGCCTCATAGATGCTCTGCATTTTCTCCTGGTTCAGCCACAACTGCGATTAATACCGTTAGTGAAAATCCTGCAGCATGTCAGCCAGTTTGCGCTCATAGTTCTCATTCAGACGCCAATAAATTTCTGTGATCTCAGTCTGTTTTACAATGCTCACTTTCTCCAGTTCCTTTTCATAAAGGAACTTCTGAAAGTCCAGCTGCTCATTCAGCGTCTTGGCTCGGTCGCTGAGGTCTCGGCAACGCAGTATCTGATCTTGCATCTCCTTCTTGACTCGTTCGAGGTGTTTTGCCAGGACATCCCACTTATTCTCGGCATCCTTAAGCTGTTTCAAAGCCTGGTTCAGGCGTCCTTGAAGGTCGACAACCTTAGACTCCAAAGTTGTCGCACGTAGCTCTGCTGTGAACCACTCACACTCCCTCTTGTTTAGCTTTTCCCGGAGAGCCTCGTTGTTGGTCTGCCATTTTTCGCTTCCAGCTGAATCCTGGCTCTTTCGTTGACCGTGTCGTGGAAGGCCCTCGGACTTGGATCAGTTCTCTTTCGTAAAGATTATTGATGCTGGTCACTTCGCGAGTGTGGGTCTCTGGCTCGTCTCAATCTGCTTTGTGAGCCTGCTATTCTTGGCTTGCAACTTGCGCACTATGACGATGTACGCATCGAGCCGATTGTTTAGGTTTGCTTGTTACTACAGGAGGTTTACTGCTGTCGCTGTGGTTTCTTCTGCCTTCTTGCGGAAGTCGGGGTCACATATGAATTTTACATGTCGTCGAAAACATCGGTTGCATTTTCGGTTTTCTCCACAATCCTTTGCCCTATGACCTCGCTTTAAACATCGAAAAGATTGCCCTGTCTTGCTGAGCATTTCTTTCTTTTCTGTCAACCTCACTTTGCTGTCACAGACCTCAGCACAATGTTTTGATGATTCGCAAAACAGACACAGGTTGAACCCACCCAAAACACACTGAAGAGACGCTGTTATTGACATGGCATGATGCCCAACTCGAACTCGACATCTCCACGGTGTTTTGACGTATTTTCGGCCTTCTTGAGGACGCATACGTCACGAAAGTTTCTCAGCAGTGAAGCTGATGTTCGAGAAAGTACAGAGGATCTTGTAGCTCTTTTTCGATTTTGGTCGTGTTGTCCTGTGAGCGCCTTTGCGCTTGCATCGTGGACACCACAGCGATCATTGCCGTCGTCTTGGGACTCTCATAATACTTGAGAACATAGTCTGATGGCATGACACATGAGAGAATCTCCCGTAGCATGGAGGAGTAGGTGTAAGGGCTCACTCCAAGTGCTTTCAGACTCCTTACGTGGGCTTGAGCTTCGTCATAGAGCTCCCGAAGTTTAGTGGTGCTTGAATACGACAAACCTGGCTGGAGATCTAAGAGGTTTCGAAGATGTTTCTGTACGATAATCATCTCGTCTCCCAAGAGTGACTTCAGGATATCTACTGCATCTTCATTACACTCGCCTGATGCTTGAAGTCCGGACATGGCTGCGGCAGTAGGTCTAGTGACAAGGGTGTTCAAGAAGTTAAACTTGTCGGCAGCTCTAAAGTTGTCGTTGTTATTTACTGCCCTCGAGAACTGCATTAAAAATTGATTCCATTGCTATCAATTGCCATCGAGTTTCTTTTCTTTTTTCTTTTCAAGCTAGGTCTTGAATTTTCACATTTTCTTTTCAAGCTAGGTCTAACTACACTTGTGAAACGTTTCGATGTTGAATGCCTACACTATCTGCTCACTTTAGTCAATTCTTCTCGCTTCAGCACTGTCGAATGATATCTGAAATTTTTCAAATCTTTGTCTACGAAGAATGACCCTGCCCTTAACACTGCAAAATTTTTTACCCGCACTGACATGAACAAATACAGCTTTTTCCATTCAGCTACGGAAGCTTGAAGTTTAGGTGCCTGGAAGTGTTTGTTCTCTACCACTTTGAAACTTTTTGGGAGCCTGTTCCTGAATTTTGCTGTACCATTCCTGCAATAGCTCTAATTAGGCTGCAGTATTCAAAAATAAATAAAATGAAGTAGTGACATTGAATAGGTGCGATTATCCACACAGAAACGCCGGCTGTTAGCTTTCTTTTTAACTGAGACTACAGGGGAAGCCCACGTACTAGAAAAGGGCTCAATCGTACACTTTTTGAACACCTTGTGAACCTCCTGTTGGAGTATTTTGCGCTCTGATGGTGACGCGAGGTAAGGATGCCTTTAAATTGGAGCCACGTCACCAGACTCAATGCGATGCTTGACTTGTAAGGCTTGACCTAAAGGTCTGCCGTCAAAGTCAAATATTTCAAGATATGTCATCAAGAGATCACGGAGTCATTCTACTTGAGAGTGCGAAAGGTCTGAAGCATTCATTTTTGTTATATCGCTTCGCAGTGTTGAAGGTGCAAGTGCGTCAGCCCTACATGAGTTTAGAGAGATGGCCGCGGACAGTTCAGGGTACACCTATGAGATTTAGCGCTGCTGGGACGGCGATAGAGTAGCCAATGCCGTATGGTAGGACTTGAGGACTAAGTCTAAAGTTCAAAATAAGGAGGGGGATGTCTTTTTCACCATCATAGTTATAAAGTTGTACGAAAAAGATACGTTGTGCGTCATTAAAACACTAAGACATGGTATACACGAACATATATTTTAGCGACCGGATTATTGGAAAATACCTATTTTGTTTCTTGCGTTCCAGTCATGCCATTTAGAGATATAAGCACAAATTAGTGGGTAAGAAGAGCTTATATAGTGTTTCTATAGTGCCTCTAAAAGACTATTTTGGGCGTTGGTACCTAACTTCCTATAACTGCCTTTAAATGCCTGTTTTCAGAAATCGTGCCTAATAAACGCAGTTTAACCTCAAACTTTGCTTTCAAGTACCACTGGAGTCGGGTTTTCATGTTATTCGGAAAAATTGAGCTTTCAGAACAATGCAAGGTGCAAACTATACTTCATCTCATGGGTTACTTTCATCACGGTCAAGGCTGCAAGGCTCTTTAGCCAAGAGAAAGGTCGATTAGACACTACCCATATATTTATTCGCGTCACGTCGTCTGCTTGGCATTTCTTCGGCATCTTCTCGCTTGCGTAAGGAACAGGGGGTGTTTCTGTCCAGCGGCCGAACGATGAAGAACGAATGCGAGACCATTGAGTGCCATCAGGAGAAGTTATGGGGTAGATAAAAAAGATATCCATGTGGTTTTTGTTTTACTTGTCTTTTACTTCCTAAATGACACTTTCCTATGTCCCATGAGAAATTTTACTCAGTGAAAGTCGTCGCATGCCCAATGAAAGGCTTTTTATAACTAGAATTTTTAATTGGTTCCTTACAACCTGCGAAAGTATGATGTGAGGAGCTGAGCTTCAAACCTTCGCCACTCACTCGATATAGACTTCACAAGCACAATTCCTTCTCTGCGCTGTTTGTTATCAGAACAACTCGAAACTGGAAGATCACTCGACGCGAACGGATCAGCCCGTCATGCGCTTATAAGGTACATTTGCATGACATGCCCATGCAAGGACGTGCACGCAAGCGGTGTTATGACGTTTCGACGTTCTTTGCGTTGTACTGCACATTTCTGTGAGATGGATCCCTGTATGCGAGCAAGTTTGGTGATGCTGGCATAGATCGCGTATCCTTACCACGATACATAGCATCCTTACCACTGCCACTGCTCTAAGGGACGAAGCACCAAAAACACGCCGAACATTGTGAGTGCTGGTACCAGCACGATGCGAGAATGGCCAGAACACCAACACAAATGAAATGAAGGAAGCTTATCCCCGAATGCAGAGATTTTACTTGGCTCGCGCCCTTGACTTGACTTGAGTAAGTCAAAGCGTAAGGCAAAGCGTGAAGCAAGCAGCAGACTTCGAAATGCCCAAGTCGGCCTTCACATGCCATAGATTGCTCAGGCTGTCTTGATTTCCCAAGTCAAGAACGAGCTTCAAAGCACAAACACGTTGCTCGTTTGTTAACGAAGCTAATATGAAGTTGTTCGCATAAGGCATGTGTTAAAGCAATAAAGGATCGTACATTTCAAAATGACTATACAGACAAAGTGCCCCAAGCATGTTTTGCCATTTCACGGCTAACGAGCGGCATGTGGTGCCTGTCACCAGCGTTACTAGATACTAATCAACGTCACTACACAGTAAAACATTTTACACCCAGAAGAGTGTAAATGAGCTTGTCCCATGGACGACAACCTAAGGGTTTTAATTCAGCACCTTCCGAAGAGGGTGCTTTTCCATGCATCCTTAGAATAGGGTGTACATGTAAAAAACTGTAGGGGGTTACAAGAACGCCGTTAAAGAAGGGTGCCTTCAATGTACCTTCACTTTTTTAGCACCCACTGAAGAGGGTGCGAGAAGGGTGCACAAGGGTGTTGAGTGCCCATTAGCAGGGGTGCCAGTAATCTTTTAGACTGTACTAATATATAGCAGCATGCACTAATTACACACTACATGAAGAAAGTGGTCCTGATTATCAATGGTGCGCCACCAGTCGAGCTCCATTCATTGCGTATGGGCAAAAATATAAACACGTACAATCGTGTATGAACTTTGTTGGATCTATATGTACTTCACAGTATATGCATAATGCGCGTTACAGAAAACTAAGTCTTGCTGCCCTTGCATATTGCACTTATTTAATAGGCACATAAAACTTATAAACTTTTCTTCTGCCACACAACTTTGTCACCAGATGTGTAACATGTTAGAGTATACGTACACTACACACGCAACACCTCAAATCTTTATTCTATTTTTTTCAGTTTCACTTTATTGACAATTCTTTGAAATATACAATCACACTGGTTTCAGTTTAGTATACTGCTTCAAGTACATAGAGACTACAAATTAAACACACGCTAATATATCACTATAATTCTCTCAAGTATCTACAATTCCAGTGGTTTCGAGTTTAGTACTCCTTCATGTACACAATCAGGTAATAGGAATGAAATACAGGCAAATATATACTCATAATTTTTTTCAAATATATACAATCACCATGATTTCACTACATATCGCTTCATGTACACAATCGTTCCCAAGAAGTAATGCACACGAAAATATATACCGATAGTGTTTTCGAATGTATACAATCACAGTCGTTTAAGCTTTGTATTCCTGGATGTATAAGAACTATTTATGAGAAATGATGTACATGCCAACACTTATGGGTTTTCGCACATATAACTTTAGCGAACACTTAAAAAACCAATGCAATGATCAGACCCAGAGTAAGCTAAAAACGAACACAAAACTTAGTCAGGACACACAAAAAAGAAAAGAGGTAATGCATAATTATGGCTAATGACACAGCTGGGTCATTTTATGCCAAATTTCCAGCCATTTTGGCAACCATCTCAAATGTATTCGAAAAACTCGTGCTGCATTGAAAAAAGTGAACTTTCCGAAATATTTAGGAGAGGAAAGATATTTGGTCACGTGGCTGCCTTCTAAACTTCCTGGAATGCCATCTAGGTGTTGTATGTGAAAAATTTTATTTTAAAAGCACTGCTCCTTCTTTCTGAACGAAACTGGGTCTACGTCTTACGTAACAAGAGTTTAATTTGGGCGAGTTGGTTCATTGTGGTTGTGTGCTAGTCACAGCGCGACAACTTCAGGAAGAGACAGAAGGGACAGGAAAGAGCCCCGACTGTCAACTGAATTTAATGAATGTGCAACGAGCGCTTTTATACGGAGTACAAGAACAGTGCTCATGCGCGACGACACGTATGACCACTCCAAAATAATCTTAACAGAGAAAAGAATACTCCCTCTCGGAAAGGATAAGTGATGCACTGATAATTGGTCTTCCTGATAAAAAATACTTCTACAAACTTTAAATTGGCATTAAGTAAACCTATTTTCGTGACGAATGGTGCGAGATTGACTATTCCTGTTGCTGTTTAGTACACACACTTTTGAAAGCTTCCAAGGGGTGGAAAAACACGTTATTATAAGATCTACTGGCTATTTTTAATTGTGAGACACGTTATGTGGTATAAAATGCAAAGGTTTTGGTCATTGTTTTTTTTTGTTGGTCCTGTCTTCTTTAACTTTACTTTCTGCAGGAGGGTTTCGCAAACGGGTGTGATGACTCTGTTGGGATATCCCGCAACTTTTACTCTTTTAATCTGGTTTTTAAGCCTGACCTCACCTTTGTGCTAACAAGACTTTTGAAGGGTGACCTAAATACATGTGGTGTTAATTCTTTTTTTACTAATTTTGAATGCCCACTGTTAAAAGGCAGAACATTCTTAGCATTCCTGGGCTGATAGCACCAGTCAATATCCCAACAGCATCATCACACTCGTTTGCGAAACCCTCCCGCAGAAAGTAAAGTTCAAGAAAACAGGACCAAAGGAAAAACAGAATGACCAATGACATTTGCATGTTACACGGTACTACATACATGAGGTGTCTCACAATTTTAAAAAAAGAGCCAGCAGATAAGACATTGTTGTTTTCCACGCC